CATATCGCCGAATCATATTTTGCATACAGCGAGAAAGAATTGTATTATGCGGACCGAGGAGACACCCAAAAAGGCAAATAACAAGCGAAGCTACTATGTCATGGAACACTCACTCATTCGATTCATCACATCGGAAACAACTCTTTATATCCTATTCATCTGCATAATTGTCAACTTGTTCATATTAAAGAAATCGTATAAGTTCCCATCCAATTACAACGGCTCAGCATAAAAGCGAGTGCAGTAATCATGTTACACGTTCATTCCCTCATCGATTACTTTACGATGCTTTCGAAGAGTGAATGAGAAAAAATAAATAAAAACACAAGAATAATGGATAGCGGAAATTTGATGCAAAAAAACCTGAAATATGATAAGACTGCAACCGATGAAACCGGCAGTCAATTTGCTCCCTTTCGTAAACACATAGCCTGTTAGCCTGAAATCATTTATTGATGAAGCTAATCAAGGTAAAACAATTAAAATCGATCGCATCATTAACGACACCGCCTAAAATTCATTCTCCTTACATGATTTCTAAATTTATTTCCTCAATAAAGTAGGCGGAAAATTGAAAGTGTGTAAGGAGGAGTAAAGAAACGCTAGTGATTAGTCATCGATCACGTTTAATTTCATCTATTTTAAATGAACTTGAGTGGAAATGTGTGAAAGCAGTGACAATATGTAGAAAAAGCATCGAGTAAATGAAATGAAAATAATATATACACATGAAAATAGAAACATAAAGCACACTTCAATAAAACACATCAATATCTATGCACACTAAAACAATTGTAATCATCAACTATTCGCATTTCAAAGCAAATGCACACAAACAAGACGATCTAATCATGTAAACTCATTCCATAAATTGTTTCTATTACTTCTTATTTCGAGTTATAAAATCATATTCGATGTTGTTCACTCTAACGCAATACAAACTTTGTAATGTAAAGCAATAAACTGTGAAAGTGAAACGAGAAGATAACTGTGAAATGCATTATACACGAGTATGAACGGTTCGTTTTGATAGTGTATTGATGAACGCATATGTTTGTGCATATGATCAGTACAGCTGATCTATGGTTATTCGGACGGGCACTGTGCTATGCACACTGAGTGTGAGTGATACGTTAAAAACATCGATCGTAATATTTTGAAGTTTGATTTGAAGTTTATCATTGTGAATTCATTTTATGATTCGTTCAGCGTACATCATTTCCTAGCTCATCTCTCAGTCAATCCCGTTTTTGTATACTTTCGACGGCTTTAATGAATTACTCGCTCAAAGAAAACTGATCGCAGTCAATCAATCACAGGAAAAAGTATAAATTTGCTTTTAGTTATCAACTTGGGCATTTGTTAAACTGACTTAGCCAGTTATCATCACTGACACAAAATTGATTAGTTAAAGTAATAAATAAACAAATGAAAACCTACACTCCGGCTGTGCCTCCCACACTGATTTGTAACGGAACTGGTTGTTCGCGAATATTTTGCAGGAAGGTTAGCACTGAATTCGCGCCTTTCACTATTGGTTCATCGGGGCGTTTCGTTGGATCAACGCGAGAGATGATCTTGTTGATTTCGGATCCTATCGATGGCATCACGGCGGCGGTTTGATTACACTGAAACAAAATCTGTCCGTGTCAAGCTAAATTCAACGGCAAAATATCCAACATTCACCAGCGCATTCGGAGGGTTCGGCTCGGAAATATTAAGAGTTACATACTGGAAACTGAATACCGAAAATGTATCACTGCAAAAAATGAAAAATTAGACCAGAAATAAGAAATAACTCACAAATTGATGTTTTGATGG